TTTCCTTTTTGTGTAACTTTTATATCCTTTTTATCATTCTCTCTTGTTTGCTTTTTGTATTCACTATATTGGGAATCGAGATCTATAATGCCCAGGCGATTGATCTCTAATAAATGCTTAGATTAAAACCATTGAATAAGTATTGCTTTTTCTAAAAACAGACATTGCCATAAGACTGGGCATAGTCAATAACCTATGTTTTCATGCATTTCGGATAGTTCGAAACCTATTGATAAAGGAGTCCTAGCCGTTCGAGAAAAATGTTCGTAGCGCCTCAACCATGATTTTTGAAGATGTCGCTTGGTTCCAGTTTTATAGAGAAGACTTTGGGTTATCTACCTATGCAAAAAGATTAATAGATTGCTAGTCGAATTTGAGAAAATTCAAGCTAGTTTCCCAAAGATCCTCTGAAAAACGACCTTCCGAACTTTTTCCGAAAACGATTTTGCTTATGGAATGATAGCTTCAGGTGTCTAGTTTCCAAAACTGAAAAGCATAGGTATCTATCTTCATTTCCCTCTGAGTTATTCAAAAAACTGGCAACCTGCATTATATTCTGGGACGGATAATAATTCATTAGTTTCAAATGTAGTGTAGTATTGCTTTTGAAAACTTTAATAGTATGATAATTAAAAGCACGAAAAGTTCCAAGTTTTTGAAATTTCTCGCTCCAACTTCATGCAAATATTCTAGTGGGATATGTCGAAGCTGGAATGTTACCAAATGGTTCTCGAAATTTTAAAGTAGAAGAGTTATCGAATTCGCCAAATTTTCTGGCATTAAAATCAGGTGGTAAGTGGTTTTCTGTCATCTTATTTCTTCTGTGATATAAACATTATTTTTCTAAGTCAGATCGATTCCATCTAAATGGAAACTACACAATTCGCGATAATGACTTATATGAAATAGGTGGAACAATGATATCCTATGAAAGAAACGGAAAACGTGAACGAATTCAAGGAACAGGTCCACTGAATGATGACTTGGATATTATGATACTTGTACTTGACAAAGAGGTGAACATTGAATACACCTATTTTATGCCGAATTCAATCAATTCTACAAATAGCATTATAGAAGAAGTTAATTCTACGTTTAATTGGGCTTGGAGTGTTAGTGGATGCTCTGTTTCGTGCGGTAGTGGACAACAAACTCTACGACCACTATGTAAAAAAAATAACTTAACAACTGCTGATGATCGATACTGTACTGAAAAATCGAAACCTAGTGTAAAAATTGTGTCATGTGAAGAAAAATCTTGTCCTATAAACTGGAAAACTGGTAAATGGCAATCGTGCGTTGGCTCTTGCGCATCCATGGCTTATCAACGACGCAGTGTTGTTTGTACAAAAAGAATCAATAATGTTTTACATGCTGTACCACCTGATGTATGTGCACATTTGGTAAAACCGACAGTTATTCAAACTTGTACTGAAAAATCTTTACCATCATGCAAAAGTGACTATCAATGGAAAACTGGTCCTTGGATTGGGGTAGGTTTCTTCGGGTGATCTAACTGTTGATCATCATCTCTAAAAATTTTAGAATTGTTCAATTGATTCCTGCGCCATGCAAAGACGAACAGTGACTTGTAATGAACCAAATGCGATTTGTAACGATTTTGAGAAACCAATTGAAGAGCGTTTGTGTAATAAGAAATGCGGCCAATGGATCATTAGCTATTGGTCTGAAGTAAGTAAATATTGATTATCATTATGTTAAGTGGCTATTTGTTTTGTTAATTTTACTCAACAGTGTGTTGGTACCTGTCAGAATTCATCGATGACACGAAAAGTCTCATGTAATACGTCAATATGTAGTAATTATAGCAAACCACATTCAGTTAAAAAATGTTTTCAAGAAAAATGTGCAAATAGATCAATCTATAAAATACCAACAACACAAACGGCTCTTGATAGTACAACAATCGAATCTAGGGAAATAAGTTCATCATACTTCGATCAAACAACTCAAACAAGATTACAAAACAATATACCAACAACAGTTCAATTACACAAACCGACAACAAAATCTATAATTATATCGCAAACGTCTGACCGTTTAATAACATATAAAGTTAACACTTCTGTGCAGACACCAGCCACTGCCATGGCTAAAAAATTGCTGATTTCAAGTACCAAAAAGTCCCTTCATGTCACTAACAAATTTCAGACAACAACGCTAAGTAAAGTCGTTAACGCTACTACTATGAAACCAACTTTCAAACTACCCATATCTAGTGTGGTCAAACCAATAACCTCCTCTCCACCTATCGTTCGCACAAGAAAAGTACCATTCACAATTACCTCCGTTCGATCCGTGATTACAACAAAACCAGTGGCAACTCACATCCTATCTAAAATTTCTCAGAAAACTTTCATTGCAACTACTGCAAAGTTTGCTACTAGTGTTAAAAATAAACCCTCCTTAAAGGTTATAACTGAGACAAATAATAAACAAAAAACAACTCGTACGACTACACAAATGACAATTCTCACGACAGGGACTAAGAAACACACATCAACTTTACTGTTAAAAGCAACTTCAAGATCAAAATCGAAACTAGTCACCATAACGCCAACCTCTTTAGTAGAAACATTTACTACGATCATTATGAGAAAGCAGACTTCGAAATTGAAATCTATCTCGACGACAACAATAACTAGAAAAAAAATAAAAAATTGAACTTAACTACAATCAACCCTATTACAAAATGGTATCGTTATTCTCATTATTGATTGTTCTCAAAAAATTATTTTATCGTTTTAATGATCACCTTAGTTTTATTTCATGTGAACTATAATATCTAAATTTAAAACAGACTGCCTCAAAATAATTGTCAATAATTTTCTAAACTATTTATTCTAAATCACAAATACTCTGGCATGATTTTCTATATCGGTTAATAAAAAAAGTAAATAGAAATAAATGAGCGAACATAATCAAGTGAAGAACATACAATTGAGATTTTTCTTAAGCCAGAATAAATGGCGGTCCGGCCTCAGTATCTCTTTCGATTTTCATCACTCAAATTTCGGCTTGATTTTGAAAGGACGAATTATTCTCTACAAAAAAATATATTGAACATTTTTTTATATCATAGAAATAAAAGAATATAGGTGAAATACTGCGAAGCTTCAATTTTCACTACTTTCAAACCAAAAACACAACGAAAAGATATCTAATTTAACTTGATGCTATGCATCAACGTAGAATCCAAACATATGATCTTGTGCCTCAATGCCGTCTTTCTTTTCATATATCAGAGGTTAGCTTTGAACGGGTTTTCCTGATACAAAAGGCCATTTTACTACAGTCTACCAAAAAACAGGAAACTTTTCACCTTTTCGCCTTGCCACTGGAACGGAAATGGAACTATTAAACTTTCTCTGTTCGGATGTAAGAGAAGACAAACCAGATCTGAAAATATTGATTTTGGCCGATTTAGAAAAGTTTTTCCAAATGCCATCAAAACTGCAGTTTGAAAACGGCGATTCTTGATCAAATCGATATAAGTAAAAACGTCTCCCGCAACAAATTGCTAGTATGGAGAGTTTTAAACATAGCCAGGCAAACATCACCTATGGGAAAAATCTAGATACAATTCGTTTGTAATCGGGCGATATACGACTAGCTGCCATCTAGATTACCAGTTGGAAAAGGGACTTTTAACTAGATGCGTCTGCATGTGTAACTGGCAATAGTTAAATCGATCAATTATCGGGCGATGAATCGCTAGTTGCTACTAGATGAAAACTATCAATCGCCCGATTACTAAATTTCTACTGTCAGTGTGGAGACATATCCCGATCGGGATATACTCCCAATCGGGATATATATCCCGATTGGGATATCATTTTTTGCAGCAAAATTTTTTTTATATCCCGAACGGGATATAGTTTGAAATTATATCCCGATCAGGATATAATTCGATATCCCGATTGGGATATCAAGAAAATCTATATCCCAATCAGGATATAGATTTTAGAAACATTAACATGTTTCTCATCAAATCTAATTAGTTTAAAAGGAGTGTTACCGTGCCAGGCAATATGAGTATAAATGCCACAACGCCTGGAATGATGATGTTCTCTTGGCATCCTCAGAAATGCTGGCTTCACGACTGATATACGTTTTAAAAGATACAGCAAGTTGTGATTCACTTATAAAGAACATAAGGCAATTTATCTGCAAGAACGGATAGTTAGAAAAATCCCCGTTAAACACAAAGCACGTATATTTATATATTGTCGACGCATGAGAAAAGAATTGTGTTTCAATATATGTGGGCATCGAAAAGGAAGAAATAAAAAAACACGGTCGACGTGGAAAGCGATTAGATCAAGAGTATATCCCATTATGAGCAGTAAAAGATTAACAGCCTATTTCCCGATCGGGATATAAATTCGACTAAAATTTGTTATAAATTAGTATTCGAAAAAATAGTTGCTGGGCGCTTGATACACTTTCGATCAAACACAACAGAATCCGATGTAGTTTTTCGAGCTCTTTCTAATGGTGAAGTCAATTTTACCCCAAAACGTCGTCATTTTCCCCTTAATCGTTTTTACGACGAAATTTCGTGTTTTATATCCCGATCGGGATACTACTTTTTTTCTATATCCTGATCGGGATATAGCTATATCCCGGTCGGGATATATATCCCGATCAGGATATAGGAGGTGTCCCCTTACTGACAGACCTCACTCTATTCTATCCTCAATCCTTTCTCCGGAGATACAAGCTGTGATAACAGAAAGTCAAGCATACAGAAAATAGATCGCGAGTCTCGAAATCCCGCAGCAAACCCTTATTCTCATCAAAAGCCAGACGTAGATAGGAGTCTTTCGTTCAAAATGTTTATTCTTTGTTTCTAAATTTGGTGGATTTTCAAGGATTGTTCGTCCTTTTCGTGCACCGCCTTCCAGAAAGCGAAAATTTCGTCGTTTCTGTTCATGCATTGCTAATGAAATAGGCATTTTTAATGACAGAGACATGTGGTTACAACATCAAAGTACAAACATCTCGCAGAAAGTTTTTCTAGTCGACTATCGTAAAATTACTTGCAAAACCACAATGACGGCGAAGAAACTTGTGCGAGTCAACCCCTTGCGTCCAAAAAACCATCAGATCAAGTATCTGGTTCAACTCCAATTTGGAACCCGCAAAGAAAGTTCCATCTCGTACCATTTGTTGATGTGTATATCAATAATGCTTTACATGCATTACAAGATACAAACTGCTGTTGATGACCGTTGACTACAATGTGATGAAACTATTGCCACAATTCACTTGATTTGGACGTTTTCTTTTTTTTGACAAATATGACTGATTCATCACGATCTTCTATTAGCTTTCGAGTTCGCTTCTTGTTAAAAATGTTTTCGTCATTTTGAGTCTGTAATTTCCACCAACCCACCAAATAAACAATGAATGTTATTGTCATACTATAAAGCATTTCCCTTCATATCGATTCGTTCATTGGTTTCTCCCTTCATAGTTCTCCACTTAGATGTCGTTATACAACAAAAAAAAATCGGGATTTTTCGGAGTCGGAGTTGGAACCGAAAACATTTTCTGAGTTTGTCGGGGTCGGGATCGGGATCGGAGTTAAAAGAAATTTGTTTTTGGCGACCGGAATCGGAGTCGGTAGATGTTTTTTTTCCGGGAAAAAACCGGGTTTCAGAATGAAAAAGTGAACTTCGCAGACCTCTAGAGGCAGAGCGAAGGGGCGAACTAAGTTGCTCAATGAACTTCCACAGATTTTTCTTGAATTTTCAGAGCAGATAGAGAAATGTGTTCTAAACATTTTTTTCCAAAGTGCTTTCTCTTGACGCTAGAGTGCTTGCAAAAAAGGTCATAAAATATGGAAAAAAAGCGATTTTCCAGAAGAAACTTTTGCTTACGCCATATGTCCGTCAAATCAAATGCTAATGAGCTTAAACTTTTACCAGAGCTATCTTGATATGAGTACTGTCCATGATAAAAATTAGAGCTTGTTTCCGTTAAGCGTTCGCTAGGAATAGTTTATTCTTTAGACATAGACAAAACATCATCGGCCGTTTTGCAAAGAGATTTTTGCAACCGAAGATGCTCCGTTTGAAGGGCTCTCTACGGTTTCATGAAGTAGACCCAGAGTACTATCATGAACCGTTCCCGAATTTTCGGGGAAATAATGCAAAACACTCGAGGACCTCTTGTCCAAAACCTTGACATCATCTCGGAAAAACCTGAAAAATTTTCTTTCCAAACCTGTTGAATTATACGCCATTCGACGTACAACTTCGTTCTACATCTGAATATGTATAAATGAGGATTCCAGAGTGCATAGGAAAGGAGGAAAACCCCCAAAACTTCGGATTTTCCAAGGTTTTCCACTTTTTGCTTGAGTAAAAAAGCTTTTTCATTCAAAATAGGCTTTCTTGTACTTTATTCGACGCACAATTCAGTGCTGATTCAGAATATCTATGTTACAGCGCTTCAAAGTCAACAGGAATGACAGAACACTCGA